CAAAGTAGACTAATTAGATACATACTGAGGAATGACAGAAGGGAAAAAAATAAGTAAAGTCTTTGTTTTCTGCAATTAAACCATTATGTTTCTGTAAGAGCAGAAAAGTTTGTATGAACAGTGAAAACACTGTAGTTTATAACTTATGATAAGTCTCAACTCTGAGCTGAGGTGTTTAAGGTAGTATCATTGATGGTGTATGGTGCACAGTATGTGCAGTGCGAAGTGCATATGTCTGTGTGTCCAGAACCAAGGCCGTAGTGAATGATACACCATGATACAACATGGGCAAACACTGCCAGAAATACCCAGGATTCATTATGGATTGATTTTGAATTAGTATTTGGTTGAAGTGCAAGAGCCAATTTTTTTTTTTGATCCTACATTCAGTTATGCAACCCATATGAGGCCATGGATCACAGTTTAAGGATTTGCTGTCCATCTGATCATGAACAATACATTCAACACAAGCCCAAGGAAGTGCAGATGAAGGAAGCTGGTGGATAGGACCCACTTACATGATAAAACACAGGGAGAAGTGGATTGAAATTGTGAAGAGGGAGTGGAAGAGAGGTTTTTGGAAAGCTATGATGCTTTAGGGAGTGAGGACCAAGATCCCAGCCAATGTCCTCTCAGCTACTGAGGAGGAGCTAAGGCGCACACATGTGCCTTTCTGGCATGTGCTTTCTGTTCACCTCCAATCTGTGGTGAGGCTGAGAGAGGCCTAGCTGCCTCAGTCCTGAGGTAGTTTCTGCAAAGCTTTCCTTGCTAATGGCAGGTACAGTGCTCATGTGTGTAGACTCAACTTTTACACTTGGTGGAGGTGCTGTGGCAAGGCGTTTGTCATCCGGCTTCAGGAATGGGAAGTCAGAGAAAGTTGGGGATAGTTCCTGTTAGTGAGCGAGTACTGAAGTTCTGCAACGAGACAAAGGCCCTGAGTCTGAAACCAGACTCTAGTTTGTCAAGAAAGTTCGGAGTTTAAAAGTGCCTTAAAGAGATGTGGGGGTGTCGAGTACTGGTGGGGGGTTTTTAGCCAGAGAGAGCAGCTTTCCATCTTGCATGCTGGTGGGCAGACTATTGATAGTGGCCTGAAAGTCTGCATTAATGATGCCTCTGCACTAATGGACAGTCCTGTGTGAGATCTTGTGACAAATGAGAGAAGATGAGGGGGGTAAGGATCTGCATCTTCCAATTCCCTGGCAGGACTTTGGGACAGGTTATGTGCTTATCCCGACCCCATGGGTATGAGCTTCTTCCCTCTCAGAGGATTCAACTTCAAAGTCTTGGAGAATGCAGAGATGCCTGTGTTACTTAGGCAACAAGCATCCAAACAACTGTAATTGGTGAAGGAAGGAAGGATTTCCCAAGTTGTACCTAGCCAGGTGTCTACATGATCAAAGCTCAAAGGACGTGGCTTAGGATCCAGTGCACTTTGATTGTTCAAAGAAGTTTGGATGCATAGTGATCCATCAGGATACAGAACCAAGCTATGACTAGGACCATGGAAGCCAAAGAGGAGAAGATAGGAATATGTGAACAGTATGCACCTGCTGATGCCTGGATGGAACACTGTTCCTTTGGTTTTCTTCCTCTGGGGTCCAACCTGGAGGGTCTGAGGAGGTTGTGTTGAAGTCAGGCATCCAGGGAATGAGATCTGGATGTTCCCAACTCAACTCTAAAATGCACATTGCTAAAGTTAGATGAACATACAAAAGAGAAAACTGTCTTCTATGGTATCATTTTATAAACTCCAGGCTTTAACTCTTCTCACACAAGTTCACCCAACTTTATTGGCTGTAATAATCTGACCTAGGATGAGCAAGGCTGCCATCATGTTCTGCAGCTATCCCTAGCTCTTTGCTCTATGGGCTTCCTCATTATGCTGACTTACTTCATCAAGCCAGCAAGGAAAACCCCCAACTTCAGGGGTGGATCTCACCTACTTAAGTAAAGCACATTCATGATAATTTCCCTCTCAAGGGGCTTTAAACCAAAGAGCCTCAATCGTTCATGGAAATCACCTTTACCTTCCTTAATTATAAGCTCAATACTAAGCAAGTTACAGGATGACTGTGTTGAAATGGGATGAGATTATGTAGGGTGTGGCCATCAAGGGAGTGGATTCATTTTAGAAACACACCTATTCCTGGATTGTTCTGTTCCTGAGTGGCTCCACTGTGTAGCACAGGCTGGTCTGGAATTCAGCTGCTCCTGCTTGTGAGATGTGGGATGGAAGGTGTGTGGTGCCATTATTTGAGGTTATGGTGGTTTGAATGGAAATGGCCCCCATAGGCTCATAGTAAGTCGTGCTATTAGGAAGTGTGACCTTGTTGGAGTAGGTGTGGCCTTGTTGAAGGAACTGTGTCACTAGGGGTGGGCTTTGAGGCTTCAATGGCTTATTCTTCCTCCCTTCTGCCTGAGGATCCAGATGTAGAACTATTGGACCCTCTCCAGCACCATGTCAGCCATGATGATGATGAATTAAACCTCTGAATAGTAAGCCAGCCCCAGTTAAATGTCTATTTTTATTTTAATAAGAGGTGCTGTGGCCACAGTGTCTCTTCATAGCAATAGAAACCCTAACTAAGACAGAAGTACAAGATTTCTCATTCTAGTAATACAGAAACAGCAGGATCCATAACAGAGATTGGCCGCTAGACTTCTTCCTTTTAATAATTTCTCAAGAAAGTCAGTATTAACACCTTTTCCGTATGTTAGCACTATCATCTCAGCCTGACTGTCTCTGGTTATAGTTCCCTGTGATTTTCTTCTATGCCTCTGTGGGCTGACCAGGCTAAATATGTGGAGTATTGAGAAGAGAGGTGAGGACTTCTGATTACCTTCTTTTTCTTTTGTTTTAAGATTTATTTTATTCAAAGTTGTGTGTGTGTGTGTGTGTGTGTGTGTGTGTGCATACAAGTGCAGGTGTCCATAGAGGCCAGAGACTTTGGATTCTATTGAATGGATTTGCAGGCAGTTGTCATCTGCCTGATGTGGGTGCTGAGAACCTGTCTTAGGATTTCCATTGCTGTGCATAGTCAACACTATGACTAAAAGAAACTTGAGGTAAAAAAAGGGGGTTTATTTTAGTTTGCAACTCTCAAGTCACATTCCATCACTGAGTGAACGCAGGGCAGGAACCTGGAGACAGGAACTGAAGCAGAGGCCATAGAGGAACACTGCTTACTGGCTTGCTCCCCATGGCTTGTTCATCATGCTTTCTCATAACACTCAGAACTACCAGCCTAGGAGTGGCACAGTCACATCAGTGGACCCTCTCACATCAACCAACCAACCAGCCAACCAACCAACCAACCAACCAGCCAACTAGCTAACCAACCAACCAACCAACCAACCAACCAACCAACCAAATATCCCCTGCAGACATGCTGACAGGCCAGTGTGATGGAGTCATTTCTCAATTGAGTCTAATCTTCGCCCTACTCCACCATCTTTTATAGCCTATTTCTCTGTCATCAGTCTGTCCTGATGTTTGCTGCTATTTAATACCATCTTAATTTAAAGCATGATGACGTTTGTGAGGTGGGAAGCTCTAGAATTTACCGAATGTATGGCCTATCACTGGAACAACATACTGTGGCTTGGTCTGGGCAAAGACAGTCAAATAAGGCATTTTCCATTTATGTAAGCCCATTTTCTCAAACCACTAAGTAATAAGTAACACTTCCAAACAAACAAACAAACAAACAAACAAACAGGATCATCTATGATGAGATGTGGTAAGAATCTAGATGTGATCACAGGAAATTTCGGGTGTGGGCATTTTCTGCGGATGAGGGTGGATGTGGCGTCACTGGTTGCCCGTTAATGAAGCTCATCCCAGTTCTGAATATTCCATCACTTTTACTGTCTATCAGATGATGAGCACATGAGCTCTCCTGGTTTGCAGCCATTGTGCATATTGTTTGAGAGTCTTTGCATGGACACCCATCTTTATTATCCTTGGGGTACCTAGGAGGTACCTGGTCATGTGGCTGTGTGTGTTGAAGCTGTTGAGAAAATGCTGAACTGTTTTTCAAGGTGGCTGTGTCCTTTTCCAAGTCCACTAACAATCTGTGAGGCTCCCTTTGCACCCTCCCCGACACTTGTTAGTTTTCTTCATTTTGATTATAGCTATTTTGCTGGTAGTGGTAGCTCATGGTGGGTTTGACTTACGTTTTCTTACTGATCATGACACCAAACATCTTTTCATGAATTTATTTGCTCTCCCTATAGTTTCCTTCATGTACTGTCTAAGTCTTTTGTCCATAATTTTGAAATTGGATTATTTGTCTTATCACTGAGTTACTAGCTTCTTTCCCCTTTTCAGGCATAACAGACACACACACACACACACACACACACACACACACACCACACACACACTTGTTTGCTTTAAGATTTATTTTATTCTAAATTATGAGTGTGTTGGGGTATGTGCATATGAGTTCAGGTGTCCACAGAATTACAGGCGGTTGTCATCTGCGGGACATGGGTGGAGATAGAGTGCAGAAAAACTCCTCTTCCTCCCTACTCCTCCTAGATCCACCCCCTAACCTCACACTCTTCTAAATGTATGTCCTATTTTAAAAAAAGAACTCACTGCGTTCAGTGTGTTCTCCCAATATACTCATGATGATGGCGCCATCCACCATAGCAAAGTTGACTTACCAGGGCCCACATACTTAAAAACCCTAACTTGCCTTCTCTCAGAAGCCATCTACTCATCTACTGTCCATAGCTCCTCAGCTAGGGGTTGAGCCCCTTTCTACTTCATGCAGGAATGCTGATGGGCTTGATTATGTGCAGGCAATCACAGCTGCTACCAGACCTTGAGTACAGCAGGCATTTTATGTCGAGAAAACACTGTCCTGATCCTGAGTTAGAAACACAACATAGTAGAGGGTGTGGGTGTTAACCCTTGTTGTTGGATGGATTTCTGGGAGTTCCAGCTGACTAGGTAAACCAGTATTGAGAGGTTTGATTAAAAATAAATAGTGCATGCTCCTAGAAGCACTGCAGGTGTGTCTGCGGTGTCACATGAGTATCAGTAGAGGGCAGAGAGGAGAGAGGATGTGTCTATGCCTAGTGTTCTGACCTGTGAACATCTGATTGATTAGTAGTCTAAGACTCCCTGAACAAACACTGAGCCTAAGACCACCACCAGTTCAGCACTGTGCAGACCAAACCAGCCTCCCAGGATGGGGATTGAGCTGGAGACTAGAAGAACCCCGGCCCCATGAGGAAGTGAGCCGGAGACAGATGACTCTTGTATGGGCCACTTGGTCAAGCCTGGGCAAGGACTGAGCCTGAGATGACCACCATCAGACTCGTGCCATGGAGTCCTGGACAGGAAGCTAGCCTGAGATGACTAACAGTCCAGAGTCATGCAGGCCTGGAAGGGGAGATAGCAAACCATGCCCGAGATGACCCCTGCCCAGTGCCATAATGCACACAAGTGGGTCATAGCACTCCTGAGACCACTTCTGAGATAATCCCAGACACTCAGAGACCCCAGGTACCACTAAGAGAAACAGAAACAGAAGGAAGTGGGCAATATGAAGGGGGGCAGAACTGGAGACTCAAGGGTAGTAAGAAACAGCTTGATATGAGCAGCTGGTGATCTCCCCTGGGACCTTGGTGGAGTCCCGGCCTGTGCTTCCACTGGGGGTCATGTCTGGGTCCATGACTCTGTAGCAGCAGGGATCTGTTGCCACCAAAGGCCAGGTAAACATCCCTGAACTGGGCCGACACTGGGGACATGTTGATTTCTGAGGGCTGTGTAGAACTGGCCACACCCTTCACTTGGGCATCATGAGACAGCTAGCCCTGGGGTTGTGAGAGCTGGAGAGCCGACCCTGACCCTAATCAGCTGCAATACTTGGGAGATTGGGCCCTGTTCCCATTTTGGGCAACACAGCAGAGCTGACCCTCATGGCAGGTGTGAGTGTGGGTGGTGGTGGTGAGTGTGTGCTAGCCTAGAGGGTATGAGTGTGGGAGAGCTGGTCCTGCCACTTGTCTGCCATTTTGTGACATGGGCTAGGGAGAGATGGACCTCCTTGTTCCTTGCCACCAATGCCAGGCAGAAAAGTTGTCCCCAAGATCATGAGAGCAGGAGAGCTGTCCCTAACCCTCACCTGCTACAGCACTTGTGAGAGTGGGTCCTACACCTCACTTGGGCAGCAGGGTAGATCTGGCCCTGGTTTCAGGGGTTGCAAATGAGCCAACCCTGAGGGCACAAGAGTGAAAGGGCTTGGTGCTGACCAGCTCTGATACCTCTTAGGCCTAGATTCAGGGCTTCAAATTGGTCCAGCCCAACATCTAGCCCACCAATGAACTGCTGTAGTACATGAAGCAGCCAGTCCCACATATCCAAAACTACAGGGTCTTCATGACACAGGGTAATAACAGGGTATTCAAGTCCCAGTGAAGTTACAATATTAATAGAGCAGCAGAACCCAGAGGCCTCATACCGGACAAGGAGTCATTGCAATGAATATTTGCAAGCAAAGAAGAGTGGACAACAGGGTACACTGTGACACACTACAGCTTCCATGATGATTTTTTCCCTCCGTTTCAGGAAGAGGTTGCAAGGGTGAAGGGTGTCTTTGAGAGGAGAGGGAGATAAATAGGATTGGGGTGCATGATGTGAAATTCACAACAACCAATAATAAAACGTTTTTAAAAGTGTGTGTGTAGTGTGTGTGTGTGTGTGTGACTATTTATGGGAAGTAAAAGAATTAAAGTAAGGAGAGAACAAAAGAAGAGAGAAGGTAATTGTGGCAATGAGTCAAATATCCAGTGTTTTTCTCATATGTAGAATTTAGATTTAATATTTTTATCTTCTCTCTATCTCTGCATCTATCTCTGCATCTATTTCTGAATCTCTGTATCTCTGTATCTCTGTATCTCTGTATCTCTGTATCTCTGTATCTATCTATCTATCTATCTATCTATCTATCTATCTATCTATCTATCTATCCTGTCTGTCTGTCTGTCTGTCTGTCTGTCTGTCATCAATCATCTACTTATCTGGTCAGGTGTGGTTTCTCACATTTGTAATCCCCGCACTCAGGATTTCAGTGGGAGGATCAAGAGTTTAAGACTGGCTTGGATGACATAGTGAATCTGAGGCCAATTTGACTAACAATGAATTTGATGCCAGCACGGCATTCATGAGGTTTTGTGGTGGTTTGAATGAGAATGGCCCCCATAGGCTCACATATTTAAATACTAACACAAGTCTCATGGTTATATTTTAATGCCCTTATATGACTGTGGCACTTTATTTAGTAAATGCCCTAACATCCAGGTAAAAAATAAATTCCTGTATTTTCAGCCATCTGTAAACTATTAGTAAGATAATGTTGAAATATTTTAAGGTAAATATGACATATTCAGTTATCAAAAGTTTGCCAATCTTTATTTTAGTTGATTATAACAGAATTTATTCTTTCTTAGTATTTATGGGTTGCTACTGGAAATGGGTTAATTCTACCGAAAGAGATTTGATTAAAGAATGAAATTAAAGAAAGTGTACTCTTGTTGGTCCTTGTTGGGAACTTTCTTTTTATACAAGCATTAACTAAAGGCTATTTGTACTCTTACATGTAATGTGTGTGTGGAAATGCTGTTTTTCTGTGATTCAAAATGGAAGATTCCCACATCCTAGTTCTCTTTCTGAAATGACAGGATCTGAGACTCCCCTCTACCCCAGTATTTTCTAAAGATCCCAGTCTGTGAAACAAACTCTAAAGAACTGGCCTTTTCTTCTGATTAACTGTGGAGCTAACAGAAAATGTTAACGTGTTCACAGTGGCTAAACCCGGAGGCTCCCACGCTGTCACAGCTCTCTGGTACTTGTTAAGGGCTTCCTTCACACCAGGCTCTTTTTTATAAAGTTGTTTTAATTCTAACTCCAGTCCCATAATGTAGGCACCATTTCTTCTGTCCCGCGCCAGCAGAAGAGGCCGAATCAACTCTCTAAGGCACACTGAGCTGCAGGGTGTGTGGATATGTCATTATACAACACAGTTTTCTGATGACTGTTACTCAAGTACTGTTGGGGCTTTTTAAATGGGCATTCAGTGGCAAAGAACACGTACACATAGACCAGGTGTGATGACTGAGTGCCCAGCCTCATTCTGTGGTGGCTGTGGGCCGTGCCCACTGTTTCTTTTGGTTGTATATTTAAATTATGGACAGCACATTTCTCCAGGGCACACAGAACATGCACATATGCAAAGGACTCCCCTGGAAGTGCTAGAACATGGCCTACATCCGTCTTGAGATATGGCCATGCTCTACAGACAAAAATAAACATTGGGGCTGGAACTATGATAATACTCCATGGAGGCCAAACATGTGAAAATGCTCAACAAATTAATAACTGAAAATAATGGCTGTGCTAATATTTTTTTCTTCCGTGTTGCTTTGATTTGATCCTTGATTCAATTCAAGTGTGTGTGCATGTGTGTGTGTGTATGTGTGTGTGTGTGTGTATGCTCATCTGTGTGTGCATGTGGACACTGGAGGACACCTTGGGTATTTATTATTCCTTTTTGGCTGGGTGTCTCACTAGCTGGACCTCATCAACTAGGCTAAGTTGGCTGGCTCACTAGCAAACCCCAGGGTTCTGTCTATCTTATATCTTAGTGCTGGGATTACAGGCACACACAGTTTTTAAAATGTGGGTTCAGGTAATCATACCACCCCTTGACCCTGATTCTTTAGCTATGACCTTGGTTTATTTTCAGATGTGTTAGTGCTTAGAGGAGCGTGAGAGCCTTCAGTGTTGTGGTACAGAATAGGGTAGTGTGTGTGCCTCAGTAGACTTTGTTTTTGTCCCCTTTCAGCCCTGATGTTTAGGTGGCACCACCTTGTAGCCCTGTAGCTCTGTGACCCATCAATGGAAAGTACTGGGTCCACTTCTTGGCCAGCTCTGCAATTTGAAGCTACACAGGCTGTGAGGCATGGCAGGTGGCATTTTATTCAATATTAGCAATGTTAAGAATTTCAGATGACTTTGTCCAATCACGGAAAGAACCTCCCCTCCTTTTTTTCATCTTCCCAATCTTTCATTTTCCCAGAAGCACCAAGTTCTGTTGATTGTATCTAAAACAACAACAGACAAACAAACAAAAAACATTTGACGATGTCATATTGTCCCAGTTCTAATATCTCCCAGTAGTTTAGGCTACATTATCTCTCTTCTATGTCTCCTAACTGGTTACCAATCTCCCAAGACAGCTTCATCATAGTAGCCCTACAGAACTGAGGAAAACATGAATCCAATTCCTTACTTAGAGTTAATGATTCTCCTTGTTACTCTTTTAATCCCTCTATTCCGTTATTTGTGGCACTACTTGCAATGTGTGATTACATGCCTCTTGCATCTTCTGTTTCATGTGTGAACTCCATGAAGGCTGGGGCAGGCCTGCTCTGCACGTCCCCATCAAGTTTTGCTACATTCAAGTGCAAGTGATTGAACTAAACCAGCTCTCACATCAGTTATGAAGCATGTCTCATATAGGATGGCCATGTAGCCTCTATTGGGTACTTTAGGCTGGATCTGTTGTGACTGCTAAGGGCACCTGTGTTTGCAAGGAAGAATGGTATTTACTTTCCTTTTAAATGACAGCTGGTAAGTGAGTTCACGGTCCTCTTGAGTTTGAAGAACACTTGGTTTAGAGTATATGGCTGTGGTCTTGCCTGTATTAGAGGAATGCAGAAAAATGAGGATGAGATTCTCAGCAGACGAATGGAAACATCTCCTACCCCTGCTCACAATGAGGAGTCAGGGAGGAAAGGAGAAGGCAAACGTGTAGCATCTGGGGCACTGCTGTTCTTGCTTAAGTACTATAGCTGGAAAACTCCCCACATTCAGCAGATATGCATTCTGGTTCGCTGGCCTCAGTTTCCCACTGATCTGTATCATTTCTAGGGAACCACATGCACAATAGAATATCCATGCCAAGCCTGGAGATCAGTCCTGTCCCTGTGCCCTATTTCAGCCCATGTTTCTATATCTGAAATTCAGAGTAGGGTGTGGCTCATGACCCAGCGGAGCTTCTCACTCAAGTGTTGAGTATTTAACTCAGTTTATCAAAGGTACTGTCAGGGAGTTAGATAC